TGTAGATCCATGCAGTATTCTCAAGATGGGTCAATCCAGTCACATATTATCGATATAATATGCACCTACGTACAGATTAAGATATCACAATACCTATAGTCTATGAGACGCAACTATCTCATCTCGTACGTACTAGTCTTGATACGTTATGACATCCGTATTATCATAAAGTGCGACTAGGGATATTCTAGACATAGCCTTCGTCAAGAAGTAACAGTCTCATAATCAGAACATCGTAGTCCTCATCTATGTTACTGAAGCGCTATCGTCTATGGACTGAAGCTATGTTATGTTACACGAGATATAAAACATACTTCAAGGCCTTTCATTCATGATAAAGTGTACAGTTACATAGGTATTTGATTGCCTCTAGGGCACCTAAATACAACAATCTCCCACTTGCCCTAAGGGCAATCAAGCATTTCCTGAATGCCCATGGACCATGTATGACTCTCGTGTTTAGGCTTTCCCAAAGCCTTCGTCAACAGATCCCCGATATTGTCGTCTGTACCTATCTTGCAAATCTCAACGTCCCCACGTGCAACGATTTCTCGTATGATGTGATAACGTCTAACGATGTGTTTTGTCTTCTGGTGAGACTGAGGTTCTTTCGCTTGTGCAATTGCCCCATTGTTGTCGCAAAACAACGGTATAGGGTTCTTGATGCTAGGAACCACTCCAAGCTCAGTAATAAAATTCTTGAGCCACACACCTTCCTTGGCTGCCTCGGCTGCAGCCATGTACTCTTCTTCTATAGTGGAATCAGCGGTAGTATCTTGCTTGTAACTCTTCCAGGTAACAGCTCCGCCATTCAAACAAATCACATACCCTGCCTGCGACTTGAAGTCATCTCTATCATTTTGGAAGCTGGCATCAGTATATCCAACAATACTGAGCTCATCTTTTCCGCCATATACCAGGAAGGCATCCTTAGTCCTACGGAAGTATTTAAGGATGTTCTTCACAGCCGTCCAATGGCTTTCGCCAGGGTTGGACTGGTATCTACTCATGACACTCAGAGCAAAGGCGACATCAGGTCTCGTACATACCATCGCATACATGATGGATCCAATGGCCGACGCATAAGGAACATTTCTCATGCGTTCTACTTCCTCCAGAGTGGAAGCACCCTGAGTCTTTGAAAGACTCGTGCCTTGGAACATAGGCAAACTTCCTCGTTTCGACTCAGACATGCTGAATCTAGCGAGGACCTTGTCTATGTATGTACTTTGACTGAGACCTAACAACTTTCATGATCTATCCCTATAGATCCTTATGCCAAGTGCATAACTGGCATCTCCCAAGTCCTTCATAGAGAAACTTTTACTCAACCACATTTTGACGGTGGTTAAAGTAGGAATATCGTTTCCTATGAGCATATGTCATCAACATACAGAGCAAGGAAGACTACACCACTCCCACTGACCTTCTTCTATACACAAGATTCATCTGAATTTCTTTCAAAACCAAAGCCGATGACAGTTTCGTGAAAGCGGATGTTCCAACTCCGTGAGGCTTGCTTCAATCCGTAGATTGATCGCTGCAACTTTCATACCTTGGTAGATTCTTCAGGAGCGCAAAACCCTTCAGGTTGTGTCATAAAGACATCATCAAGGAGGTTTCCATTAAGGAAAGCCGTTTTGACGTCCATCTGCCAGATTTCATAATCGTGGTATGCTGCGATAGCAAGTAAGATCCGAATGGATTTAATCATGACAATTGGAGAAAAAGTTTCGTCGTAGTCGATACCATGTATTTGACGATATCCTTTTGCTACCAATCGTGCCTTGAAGGTTTGCACCTTACCATCCATGTCAGTCTTCTTTTTGAAGACCCATTTGCACCCAATGGGTTTGATCCCTTCGGGTGCATCAACCAAAGTCCATACTTGGTTGGTGTAAATGGAATTCATTTCGGACTGCATGGCTTGACGGCATTCCTCAGCCTCGGGACAACTGATTGCCTCGAGGTAGGTCTCCGGCTCATCCTGGTCGATAAGCATTACGTCACCCTCAAAGGTTAGGAGGAATCCATACCTTTCAGGTTGTGTGCGTAACCGGTTAGACCTACGGGGTTCTTGTGTATCTTGAGCATGTTGAGGTACAACAGTTTGTTCCTCTAGCTCATGTTCCAGAACCAGCGCGGTAGTTTCTTTGTCGTCTCGAATTTCTTCGAGCTCTATCTTTCTCCCGCTAGTTGCGATGGAAAGAAATTCCTTCTCGAGGAAGACACCATTGCGAGCAACGAATACCTTCTTATCGATAGGGTGATAGAATGAATACCCTTGAGTTTCCTTTGGGTATCCCACGAAGAAACACTTATCAGACTTAGCGTCAAGCTTGCCATTCATCATAAGACGTTTGACATAAGCCTCACAGCCCCAAATCTTTAAGTGTGACATAACCGGGCATTTGCCCGTCCATAGCTGGTATGGTGTTCCTTCAACCGCCTTGGTTGGAACTCGGTTAAGAGTATATATTGCAGTGCTCAGCGCATACCCCCCAGAATGATTCTGGTAGAGTCGAATGACCCATCATAGAATGAACCATGTCAAGCAGGGTTCGATTCCTCCTTTCAGAGACAACATTCCATTGTGGAGTCCCAGGAGGTGTGAGTTGGGATAAAATCCCATGCTCTCTAAGATAGTCATCGAACTCACCACTGAAGTATTCTCCAACTCAATCGGATCGTAGTGTTTTAATACTTTTGCCAAGTTGTTTTTCAACATCATTCCTGAATTCTTTGAACATTTCAAAGGATTCTAACTTGTGTTTCATGAGATACACATAGCCATATCTACTGAGGTCATCAGTAAAAGTGATGAAGTATGAATAACCACCTCGTGCAGTTGTATTGAAAGGCCCGCACACATCACTATGAATGAGTGCCAGAAGATCACCAGCTCTTTCACCGTGTCCGATGAAAGGAGATTTGGTCATCTTACCCAATAAACAAGATTCGCATGTGTCATATGATTCAAGATCAAATGACTCCAGCATTCCCGACCGATGTAGCTTGGATATGCGTTTCTCGTTTATATGGCCTAACCTACAATGCCATAGGTATGTTTGGTTCAAACCGTTCGGTTTGTTCCTCTTGGCTGATATGTTATAGACAGACATGTCCAAGTCAAGGACATATAACCCATTGGTCATGTTGGCATTAGCATAGAAAACATTCTTTCTGTAAACGGAAAGAGACTTGTCTTTAATAGAAATGATGAAACCACTCTTATCAAGACATGAAACAGAAATAATGTTTCTGCTAATTGCAGGAATGTACAAGCAATCGTTTAATTCAACATTAGACCACTAGGCAAGACTAAACTATAAGTTCCGATTGCCAAAGCTGCAACAGGTGAACCATTGCCGACTCAGAGTTCAATCTCGCCTCAAGCTAACCGTCTACTCTGCTTCAGTCCCTGCATGGTAGTACAAATATGAGACCCACATCTAGTATCTAATACCCATGATCAAGATATAAACATGTTAACTTCTATAACATACACCTCAGAAGAACTGGTCGTACCTTCCTTCTTCTTGGTTGCGAGGTATGTCTTGCAGTTTCTTCTCCAGTGGCCTGCCTTACCACAGTGATGGCATTTTCCCTTTGCAACTCCTCCTATGGGTTTCTGGGTTGCAGATGAAGTGGACTTCGATTTAGGCTTTCCGACCGTCCTAGCCTTAATCTTAATCCCCTTCTTCGGCTTCCCCTTTCCGCCTTGGACCATAAGGACGGAAGCACCCTTGCCCTTAGTAAGGTTCTCCTCTGCAGTCTGGAGCATTTTAAGAAGCTCCGGAAGGGGTTTGTCAAGATCATGCATCATGTAGTTCATGACAAAACCCTTATACAGCTCAGGGAGCGACTGCAGGATCAGGTCCGTTGCCA